CCTGCTTTACCTTCTCCTGGTGCTTTCCTTTCATCTTCTTGTTCTGTTTCAAAAGCAATGGGGAGAATATGAGCATCTGTGCGTGAGGGCAGCCACATCCCCCCAGCACAGAGAGGTCCCTGCACCCTAACTTGGGGAGTGTGGCTGGGATCTGAGCCTGCCGTGCCAGCCGTGCCAGCACGGGGACACACATCAGGCAACCCAGTCTGCTCCAAAGAGGTCTCATGAAGTCCAGTGCTCTTTGGATGGTGAGACACATCAGGGCATCACCCCAGCTCTGGAAACCCCCCCTCTAAGGCTATGGGGACCTCTTGGTGGAACAGTCTTAACTCATTTTTGGCGTTATTTCAGAGTGCTGGACATAAACTGTTTGCTCAGCAACCAGCAGAAAACACCATTATCCTCATGCTTGCAGGGCCAAGGCACTTGGTAAATCAGGAAAGGGCGGCTCACTTTTGACACCTCCTTGCTGGAAACCACAGATACGGGGGAGAGCTGCCCCTCTGTGCTACTGGCCCAGTGTCACAGGCCACGCTGGGACACCCCAGACCCTGCTCGGCACCCCACCGAAGAAGAGCATGGCTCCAGCCAAGCCATGGGAGATCGCTGGCAAAGCCACCACGCACCTTCTGCCTTGGTTTCTTCGGTCTCCTCCTCTGCTTCCTCTACCTGTTCTTCCTGACCTGTGGAATAACAAGCAGCGTGAGTCTGACAGCTGCCGCTCCCGCTGGCTCCCTGCGGACTCCAGTATCAGGACAACTGCAGCACGGAGCCAGCCGAGAGAGACCCTGGGGAGATGTAGCTGCAGGAGAAAGAAGCAGCGGCTCAGAAAGCAAAGGGCTTCACTCTAACCTTTAGCCAAGGGCTGCTCTCTGTGCTTGGGCAGGGCAAAAAAATCCCCAAATTAAAGGGTTTATAGCAACCTCCTGGTTTGTCCCTCATTCCCTCTCATGCTATCATGCTCTTATACCCCAGGATGGGGGGAGTGATTTCTATTGCTCTCTTCTAGCCAGCGAAGAACAAGACTGGCTGGCTTTAGAGAATGTGCTTTCAGCACCTTCACAATCTTATTTATGACACTGTTGGAGCATTTTTCCACTGGAGGGAGCAGTATCCCCACAAGAGTCCTTCATTCTAGCAATGCTGAGGCCCACAGGTCCTGGGAAGACTTGTGGTCCCACAGCAAGAGAGAAGGAAAGAAAATGAAGATAGCAAACCACGAGTGCATTTGGTTGATAGACGTAAAAGAGAAGACACAGACACAGGAGCAGATACACACAGCACAGCAGGGCAGGAAGCGGGGAGTGCAAGAAGCAAGAGAGAGAAGTGGAAGAATGAAAGAAAACCATTTCCCAACCAGGGAGAGGCAAAAGACACACCGACCCACAACATATTCACAGCAGCAGTGGAGAGATGAAATAAAGAAAGGTGCAATAACTACCGTCTTCTTCCTCTATCCATTCTTCCTCTTCTGAGCCAGGGAGGAGGGAAAGGAATAAGTGCAGAGGTTAGTCAGACGCCATAAAGCCATGGAGTGTAGCTATGGCGTGCATGAGACGAGGACTCTAGCACCGCAGTGGTTTCCCCCTTGTGCCTCTCTTTGCTTTAAATGTTCAGAATGTTTTGCTGTGCAGCAGCCCAGGCTGCCTGGCAGTGCCCTGAAGCAGCAAAAGGTTCATCAGAACCCAGCTCCCAAACCCAGCCCCAAATGCCCAGCCCAGCTGTGTCCCAGAGCGGCTGCGTGCACCATGGCGTTTGCTTCTTCGTCAGACTGCGGCAGCTGGAGGTTTGTGCTTGAGCACCATTAATATACATTCAGCTGAGGCTCCAGCTCCCATTGAGTTATTTGGCTCACACCTCTGCCAGTGCCTGAGTCCAGCATTTCCACCCATTTTGAGTCAGGGGATCACTCTGACAAAGGAGATCCTGAGAAAGTTCAGACTGCTTTTGATCCTACTGATGTTTCAGGTAGAGAGGTCTAGAACATGGTTTCATCTGCCTTTCCTGGTGATGATTTGCCCATTGCAGTCAAGGAGCTTACCACCACTACCCGCCCAAGCAAAACACTGAACCAACTGCACAGCACTCTCTTGGTCCTTGCAACCACCGGTGAAACACCTACCTTCTTCCACATACTCCTCTTCACAGAGCACACGTGCGCACGGGCGAGAGGGAAGGGAAAGAAGACACAGGTTATTGAAGTTGCTCTGATCATTTCTTAGCTTCAGCCTTAGGACAGCTTCACCTGCAGATGCTCCACATCCTCTTACCTTCCTGCTCCCTGCAAAGCACAACACAAATTTGCAGAGTTACAGCGATCTACTGCAACAGGGCACGTGTGTCCATCAGTGAGGCCAAAGGGGAATACGAAATTTCCTCAAGGCTGGCTCCCCTTTTTCATAGAATGGGCAATGACTGCTGGGCAGGCTGCTGCGTGGCATGCTGTAAGGTAGCAGTGGGGACGCAACAAGACCCATATCACTCTGCAGGCTGCGGATAGCAGGAGCTGAAGTGCTCAGCTGACACTTTGACAGTGGTCAGAGCACAACTCCATTTTGCAGCTTGAGAAGATTGAGTGACCATGGCCTGTAATCCTAGAAATGGGCATCTCACATACCACCTTTGCCCCAAAGTCCTTTCCTGACCTTCGGGGAGAGGCACAGCCTGTCCTTGGGACCCTGGGCACAGGGGTCAGACTGATTGCCAAGACATGCAAGTCTGTCATGGCATTTAAACATGAAAATGATTCAGATCTACTTTTTCTGCTGGTGGATGAGAAGCAGGAGCTGGCTTTGGCCAGATCCCCGTAACCATGTATCACAGGTATTGAGCCCCTTCTCTCCAGGGTGTGCCTCATGGCCCAGCAGCACTCACCAGCAAAAGTTGCCCTCAAATTTGGGCCTTGGGGAGTGATGCTATGGGTCTGGCAGTAGGACCCCAGCAGCAACAGACTGATGACATCAGCTTTTCCCAGCTCTATCTGACTGACTTAGACTGCAGCATTTTTAATGCAGGGACTGGCCCTTGCCATGTATGTGCTGATGCAGCTTCTAACGCAGAATTCCCCACTGCTGGGGGTCTCAGCACTATCACAGCAGCAGTGCAGATGGGCACGGGGTGGGGGGATTTCGTGCTGGGTGCTGGGGTAATGACGAGAGCCAGTGCCCCCCAGACGGCACCTCTAAGCAATACTGCAACCCTGTGGGAAAGTGGGAATAAGAAGAAAGAAAGGGTGTTTAAAAACACACCACTTACTGCTCATATTCTTCGATGACCTCTTCAGAGTCCGACATGCCTGGTTATCTAGCAGAATTCAAGGCAGGTTAGAAAAAGCAAGAGTTAGGAGCTGAGATAAGGACAAGCACAGCCTGTCCTCCAGCGCCGGAGACACAGGCACAGAGATGCTGTGTCTCTCCAAAGTGCTTGGAGCTTCCAGCTGTCCCCAGCTGGGCTGTGACAGCGTTATCTCGGCAGAGATAAGGCTCCGCCCTTCCCTCCTGTCCCAGGATCACAGCTCGCCCCAAATAGGAGACAGGAGATTAGACACAGCCTCATGCAACACTGATAGCTGCTGTCAGGAGCCATGTCCAGGACACGCAGCTCCCCTTGCCGCAGCCATCTCAGGGTGCTGTGTTTGCTCAGGGCACAGGAAAATAACCCAATTATAATGTTCATCTTGTTTTCTTTCCTGACTATTCTTAGCTCCGTTGGGATATAGAAACTTGCAGGGATTATCTCAAATTTACAGCCCTGCACAAGCCACAGCATGAGATCTCAGTGAGACCTCTGAGCCCAGCCCTCCAAGTGCAGAGCGTGCTCTGGAAAGGGGCGATCTGGGCTCAGCAGGAGCATTTCTCTCCTGGTCCTGGCCCTGAGACTGAGGTTAACTAAAAGGAATAATTCACAGCCTGGTTTAGCAATAGGGCCAATAACTCTGCAGAAACAGCCATGCTCATCTTCCCAGCACACCCATCTCCCTCCCAGCCGTGGTCGGAAGGACTTTACTCATCATCCCACCTCATCTAACTTCCACCCAATGCTCCACCACAAGGTCTGCACAGACCAGCCCCATGACCGACCCCAGCCCTGGGCGTCCTGGAGAAGCCCTGAGCATCAGCCCAAGCCCCTGCACAGCCTGCCCACCGCTTGCGTTCATGCCAGACCTCGGAAAAGCTGAGATGCAGCAGGACAACGCAAGGCAGCTCTAGAAATAACTTCCATGTTCTAAACCACCTGTTCCCAGAGCAGCACCACTTCACTTCTCCTCCTGCCGGGCGTCTGGGAACAACTGGTCCTGGTTACATCTGTTGAGCATTTATTATCCAGTATGGGTAGGACAGGCTTCAGGATAGCTTATTCAAGATGCTGAATCCAGGACTGGAATCCGCAAGCATGGGAAAGACGCGTTGCAGGAGGTGTGCCTCTGCATACCCATGGTTCCTGGTGGGTTGTCAAATCTCATTTCTGAGCAATGACTCAGAAGGTGCTTTTTTGAGACAAATGAAGTCAGAACTCAGCCCCGTCTGCCTCGGGTTCAACACCTCCTTCTGCCGCTGCTGTTCCCTTCCCTCTGATGCATCTAGGGCTTGGCCCTAAGCAACACCCTCCAGCACCATCCCTTCAATCTCTGCTCCCCCTCAAATATCAGTTCCTGTCCCTACTTTTCCCCCAGGCTTGGCATGGTCCTGCTACCCCCAGAGTTTGGCCAAATCATTTATGCGGCCTCTGAGTACCCAAGACTTCATGTAGTCCTCTCATGACACAAGAGACGAGACTCCCTCCTGGCCATGACAGCACAAACATGCATCTGTGAAAGCTTATTTCTACATTTCCTTCCACCTCCCCTTTCATACATCACTAGATCTCACAGAGCATTTGCTGTGCTGAGGAACAGCAACAAAACCAGGGCTGTTAAGGGGGTACACAAAAAAAACTAGCATTACACCAGAAAGTGACTCTAGGAAATATTTGTCCATCCTCTGCACAGAAACAGATAAAACTTTCCATTTAAGCTTTGAAATCTTGTTTTGAAAGAATTAGGAGAACCCAGCAGATGTATTACAGAATTAAAGAGGAAACATTGCATGTATTATTGACTGGAAAAAAATCTCCCATGATTTGCTATGGATTAAATACTCCAGATATCCCTCCTGCTCCTTAAAATCCCCCTCTCCATTAGCAGAGGGTTGGCTGGTCACACCTCTGGGGCTGAGTTAATCCTCCATGGTTCACAGTCCCTGCTTTCCTCCAGGCTGCCCAAACATGAAGCCCTCATTCCCAGCATTTGCTCCAGCGTGGGTCACGTCGCTGCTCCCTTCCCGCTTGGCAGGGTCAGACCATGCGTGGGAGCATCCCACCTCTAACCAACCCCCCCCATGGGCTGCCAGTGAGCCAGGGCCAGGCTGGCCTGACTCCCCCACGGGCATCACATCCCTCCTGTCCCCTCCAGAGACACAGGGAATAGGGATCTATGAGATTTCCCTGGCACCAGGGCAGCCAAAATCCTTCTCAGACATCTTGGCACATATCAGGGTTGTTCAAAAGGTGTTGGGCAAGTTGCAAACACAACCCCCTGGAGCGGGTCCTGATGCTTTGTCCATGGGAATGCCTTCATGGCGAAAATACATTGCAGTGCAAGTGGCTGGGGAGAACCATTAACCCTGAGCCAAACCCCTTCTGGGTCTTTAACAGCTGCCCTTCCACTGAGCATCCTACACTGCGAGCAGGCACCCACCCACCCCAGCCTTACCTCTGCCGTGGGGCACCAGTGAGATCCCAGGGAGCCAAGGGGAAGCCGGCGGGTGTCTGGGAAATGCTCTTTGGGGGCAGGAGGCTTTAAGGGGGCTCCAGCGCCCACCCCGGGGCGGGCAGCGCCGCGAGGAATGTGCCCGGCGCCCAGCAAGGAATGCAACACTTGTGAGCTGCTATTTTGGCAGGCATGGCCCCGGCCCCCTCCGCCGATCCCCCTTCCCCCCCAGGAGCCCATATAAGCCCAAGCTATTGTGTGGCCTCAGAGATTTGCTATTTTAAACCCTCCGGACTGAGATACGCGAGTGCCCAAGGGGCTGACACAAGCCAGCCAGCTGTCACTTTCTAGGGCCGGGGACACTGATAAGGCAACACTGCCACGAGCAGAAGACTGGACCCTCCATCACAGCCCCTGGCCCGGGCTCGCTCAGATGCTGCACTGGGTCCAAGATGCTGTGATGAGAAGGGAAGAGTCTCAGGCTGCTTTTACCCCCTCAGAACACATTTGTCTTGGGGTTTTGCCTTTTTTCCTCTTGCCAGAGAAACGGAAGTGAACCATTCCTGGTCCCAGCCCAGGAGCAGGTGACCAGGAGTGTCTTAGAAAGAGCAACTTTTATTAGAAAAAAAAAAAAAGGCACAGAGAACACCAAGTCCTTTCCAAAGCCCAACAAGCAAGATCAGATCCAGGGGCAGCAGTAGAGTCTCACACCGAATTTGGACAATGCAATGGCTGCTCAAGGCACAGCCCTAGCCCATTGAATGGTGCCAGCACAAGGATTTGAGCATCATTTTATGGGCTGCCCATGGCACCCTAAAGCCAGCCTCGAGAGAGCACCCTGCTTCTCTGCTGGGTGGGCTCTGCAGCCTGGAGAGTGCAAGAACAGGGGTCTGCGTAGCCACGGGCAAAGGGCTCAGGAAGAAAGGTAAGAGGGAAATGGGTTTTGCAGAAGAGGCCCAGCACAGGGCACTCAGCTCCATGCAACCCCCAAAATAGGGCCGTGGCCAACCCAGCCTTGCCCTGTCACTAAGTGAAAGGGGTTGCTGCTTGTAGGGGGCAGGGGATGGTAAGGGCAGGGTGGAGAAGGCCAAGTCTCTGTCTCTGGCTCAGCTGTGTGCTGGACGGAAGCACCAGGGCCATCAAGTCCACCCTTCCTCCATGAGGCATCTCTAAGCTACACTGTCACATGTGTGACTTTGCAAAGACTGTTGGCCTTTGGTTGGGCCCTTCCAGCAGTGACAGCCTGGGAGAGGAGCAGACATCTGCCTGCCCCACCTCACCCCACACAAGCCAGGCAGCAGGGATGGACATGGTCCATGGACGTGCATCTGAAACTCCCTTGGCCAGGCAGTTTCTTGCCCCAGTGACATCATCCAGCTGCAAGGGAGACATATAGGTTGATCCCTTTGCAAGTGCAGTTATGGGGCACAGGGAGAGATTAGGAGAAAAACACCAAAATGTTGTGGGGAAACGAGGCAAGATTCTGGCTTCAGCATTTGCAAGGAGCCTCCAGGCCTGGGCACTCCTGGACAGGCAGTGAGTGAGGACTGGGGACACAGGGATAATCTTCCAGCCATCTTCCTTCCCATCCCACAAGCAGAGGACCCCGGCGACCTGGGGTGCACCCAAACATGGTGCAAGGGGCTCTTGTGGCAGTGGGCTGCTAGACAGTTGAGTAGGGCTGGGCTTTGATCTTCAGAGCAAAACAGTTTTTCCCCGATCAGCTGATATTATTACAGCTGATATTATTACAACTGGAAAAGAAAGCAAGAAACAGTGAGGCTGGGCCTGAGGCTGCAACTCCCCCAAAGGCAGCTACTTTAACCAGGACCATACTTGTCCTGAACAGGGGATGGGGCAGGCAGGTATCCCCTAAATCCCACCACATGCCGCTTCCCTTCCTCTCCCAGACCAGGCCGCTTCTCACTCTTACAGCTGCCTCCAGTTGTCCCCTCCTGCTGACTCCCCAAAGTCACAGGGTCCTGGATGTCCCACATGACCCCTCTCCCCCCTGTAGCCTGGTTGCCCCAAGCCTGCCCTGTGGGAGATCCATTGGCAGGCAGGTCCCGCCTCTACCCCTAGCTCAGAGGATGCACCAGTTTTCAGAGCAGCTCCATGTCTACCTTGGTGTCTCCAGGAATGTCTCCAGGCTGCTTTACCCAGACATCACGGTTTGGCAGGCTGTTTATTTTCCTGATGTCCTGCAAACAGGAAAGTTGTAAGTGGCACAAGAAGGTTTTCCCCATGCATCCTGTGCAGTGTTGTCTTGGTCTGACTTTAACCAAACCTTAAAGCATACGTGCTCCAGGTAAAACCAGCCAGCTTTGAGATCCTGCACCTGGTAGACCTTCAAACCCTTTAATGGTTTCAGCCAAGGGTTCCTCAACTCTTCAAGCCCCACCACCCAGATGCAGGGACATGTCCTGCCAGGCTGCCTGGTGTCAGGGTTCTAGCCCAAGGTGTTGGCACAAGCCGGTACCTTGCTCTTTTCCTCCTTGGCAGGCTCCTGAGCTCGGCTGATCCACAGATTAATGCGGGATGTCACTGATCCTGGGATCTTCAGGTTGTCCTGTGGCACAGAGGGGGATACCAGGGTTACAGCACCAGCTCTGCCACTGCACGAATGTAACCCAGGACAGTCCCCAGGGCATGGGGAGACTGAGCAAACCTGCAACAGGCAAACACCAGCCTACACCTTGGCTCCATCCCAGCTCATACCAGCGCATTGGCACGAACACACACACTGCCAGAGCACACTTTCGGTGGCAGCCAGTGCCCGAGCCCAGCCCTGCCCAGCACCACTCAACAAGCACCGAACTCCCAACCAAACTGCATCCAGGCAGCAGTCTGCTGGGAAGTGTGTTGGTATTCAAACAGGGGAAGATTTGCCCAAAAAGCTGGTGCCTGCCCTGGCACAGGACCCCACTGAAGGTCCTCGCTCAGACCAGCTCCTGCCCTTACCTTCCTGACAGCGGGTGGCTCAGCCTTGCTGGGAGCGCTGGCCTCGAAGAAGTTGCGTTTGCTGGCCACCCCCTCTGAGGACAGCAAAAGGTTCTTCTGAATAGTCAGGGATGTTTTCACCACCTCTGAGCGCTGGGAGGAGAGAGGGGTGTCAGCAGGGGCTGTGCTGTGCCCCAAGTAGTAAAAAACAAAGTCCTGTTTCTGGCTTGTGTCCCAAGCCCATTGGGGTCTGCTCCCTCCCTGCCCATCACCAGCTCATGGGTTTGACCCACTGCTCCCCCCAGCAGGACCATGCAGCATCCCCATGACCCTCTCCAAGGGACCCTCCCTGCTCCTAAAACCCATTCAGCTCCAGGCCACCGCTCTCCCTCTTCCCACACATCTCTCCCATGCCAGCCCAGCTATGACAAGGGTTTTCAGTACCTGCACAGCCGAGGTGTACTTTTCCAGCTTCTCCCCAATGGTGGTGCTGCTACCTGGGATCCTCAGGCTTGCACTGGAGAGTTGAACACAGCCCCATCAGGATCTCCTGGGACTCAGCCCATGGTCCTGGCGGACTCCACTTGGCAGGAGAAGACCCCGTCCAACACAGGCACTTCTGCATCCATCAGCCCATTGAACCAAGGCAGCTCATTCCCTGCTGGTGACCGAGATCTCTGAGTCTCACCATTTTACTAGTGCACACTGTACATTGAAAAACAGCTCTGAGCTCCTCAGTTTACCCTTCCTTCACCACTGCCAGGTCTGAACTGTATCTTCAATATCAGTATGAGTTTGCCCACAGTATGGACAGGTGCAAGCCCAGGTGTGCGTAAAGCCCCACGCCCCTGCCCTGCACTCAAAGGTGGGAGAGGGCATTGTATCAACTCCCTGCATTCAGACCCAAGCCCTTGGTTCTTCAAGAGGTTTTAAGCTACCTGTCCAAACCTTGCCATGGAGATGTGGAGGATCACTTGATCTGGCCACCAAAGCCAGATCAGGTTGCTCATGGACCTGTATAGTGAGTTTTGATATCTCCAGGGATGGGACCCTGTTCTGGTGCTGCACCGCTCAACACTTAACCACTCCTGTGCAGATACAAACACTGATGAGAAACTACATCAAGCACGAGAGAGCAGGGGCTAGCTGGGGGGATCTTGCACAGATGCAAGCTGTACATTGGACATTGTCCTGTCCTCTGCTAAGCATCGCTGCCCGGTCAGCCAGGCACCCCAGAGACCAATGTTCAGCAGACCTGTGCCAGGGCACTCCCTAGCTGGTACCAGGTCCCATCACCTCCTCCTCCTCCCTTGGAAAACAAAGGATGACAATTCCTGCCCAGCAAGACCAACGTAACACGAAGAGAGGTGCTGACCTCCTTGTGAGAGGGCTTTCACTTTCTTCGTTCTGTTTTCTTGAGATCCTCTGGAAGACACAAGGAGAGGAGATACTGGAGCCATCTTTCATTATCAAAGATAAACATGGGAGAAACTGTCTCAGACTTGTCTCCCACAATTTTCAAGCAAGCTCCACTTTCACCCACACCAGAGCTTATCTCATATCTCAAAGCTCTCCAGACTAAAGATGCTTTGTAGTGCTAACAGTTTTATTCCCAATAAAGCACCATGAAAATCAGTTAAGGCTAGCCAGTCAGCCCTGAATCACAGCAGGGAGGATCTCAACAGCCCTTGGTTTTCCCAGCCTCTCCAAGCACATTATTCCAGACATCTTGTTTGGGGGGGCTAGAACTGAAGATATTCTCAGGAATGTAGCAAGGGACAAGAAGGAGGATGGATTTTATTTTTATCCTGTGCTCTCAGAGAAGACTAGAAATGCTGGAGGGTGGATGGTCATTCCTGTGACTCCTTGGGAAATCCGAGGACAATGAGCTCCCTGTTTTCTCACCACTTCCCATAAGTTTCCATGCCAGCACAAAGCTTATGAACATGGGCATGTTCATCATCACAGGCCTTCGGTCAGCAACGGATAAGGAAAATGGGGGACAGACTGAAACAGAACTGCAATGCCCAAATCAAGGGTGGATTTTGAATGCACTTTTGGGAACAGGCTCTGCCAACATAACCTGGAGACCAAAGCAACCCCTCCCTGTCACCATCCTCCACTGCCTAAATGGGAGTCTTTCTCCCACTCGTTTTGGCTCTTACCCGAAAGGAGACAGTTCTTGGGCTGGTTCGTCTGATGCAGCTGCTGTAGGTGACCTGAGTTGGAGAAGTATCTGACTTTTCTGCAGGTTCATCTTGGGTGGGAGACAGCTGTATTACCTCCTTTGAGGGATTCCTGGATGGTTGCTGAGAAAAAAGCAGACATCTGATGCATCCCTGCAGAGTCTGCAGAGGAGGTTGAGGCACAGGGAGCAGAGTAGCCAGGGTGGGAACCGGTTTGGAGGCAGGAGTCTGAGATTGAAATCCTCCAAACCTTGGCTGTCTCATTTGGATATGCAAAGCCCCAAACACCTCTTCAGTGAAACCATGATGGCAATCACTAGAGGCTTGCTGGAGAAAGTGATCAGAATAGTACATGCAAGGGGGGGAAAGGAGGTGGTGGGACCCTGTCCACCACCTTGTGGTTTGCAGCTCTCACAGAAACCTTCCCCAAAAGCCCACAGGTCCCATTTCCCTCCTGGTACTTTTGGGCTCTCCCTCTCTGTGTTGTCCTCCCAGCACCCAGGACTTCACACCCCAAGTGTGGGTGCCTTGCCCATTCCTCCTCCCCGGCTGGTCCAGCGATGAAGTCACCACCGAGGCTGTCTTCTCCTCTGTGCTGCGGCTTCCCTGCCTGGTCAGGATCTTCACTTCGCGGAGCCGGCACCCCCCCACCTCTGGTGACATCCGCTGCTGTGGCTCCCCCACTTCCTTCCTCTGCTCCCCCTGAGGGGTCTCCACACCTTGTCCCTCTTTGTCCGGGAGATGTCCCCTCACCACCACCTTCCTCTCCAAGGCTGGCTCTGGGTGCTGGTCTCCTGGCGGGTCGCCTCTGCCCTTGGCCGCATCCTGACCCTGCTCTCCAGCCTGGATGCTCTCCTTCCCTGAATGTGGCTGTGTCCCTGCCTCCGTGCGCCTCGCTCCCACCACTGGGTCCTGCTGCTCCTTTTCCTGCCGCTCCTTCTCCTGCCTCAGCTTTCCAGAGACAGCCACTGGGGATCTTGTCCGTCTCCCTTCTTGCATCTTCAGCGCCTCCGAGAGCTTACGTTCTTCTTCATCCTCCGGAGACACTGGCTTCACCAGAGATTGAGGTCTAGAGACAGAGACAAAACAGGGGGCAAACCTCAGCACCCTGCAGCCAGAGGGCTGGCTTTTATGCTGCAGGGTGAGGTTAACCCAGGTGAAAGGCTCTGGGGGCCATAAAAATCCCACCAATGTCTCTGGAGTCATCCCTGCAGACCAGAACTTGCAGCCACACTCATCCCCATCATGCCAGCTAGGCTCTCCGAGGACAAGTTTGGATTAAAAGACTTTTTTTCCTTTTTGTGGCCGAGATTAAGCAGCCTCATCCCAGGACATCAGGATCCACCAAGTCCTGTGCCAAGGAGCTGTGGGCTCAGAGCAGTGTGCTGGGTCTGCTGCTGGATGAGACATGCGTCTGTGGCTCTTTGGTGGATTAGGAAAAAATACCACTCTAAGTTTAAAGTGCTGGTTGTAAGACAGTCTGCTATAGCAGGATTCAACCGCAGTCCCAACACCTTCTGCAGAACAGTCATTTTCCCCTCGTTCCCACAGGCAAACATAGGCACCAGAGTTGGGAAGAGGCAGACAGGACACTTGTCCAGGGCCACACAGACTGTACCTACGCAGTCTCCAGGACTTGGGAAGGATATGGGATAACATTTGCCCTCCTCCTGAATTGCAGTCACCACATGGCTGGCCCGTGCTAGCACCAGGGAAGGGGGACATGTCCTATCGAGCTTGTTCGTGTTAGCCATATCCAACCCCTATGCAACCCAGGCATCCTAACTCCGTCACCATCTGCAGAGAGAAACACCTATAGAGTCTCACTGTGGACATAAGCCATCTAAATATTGGACATTTCCGGGATCAATTTAGAGAGTGGGTCAGGTTGTGTAAGGGCAGTCTGATTTCAGGGCACGTCCAAATCCCAGCTCCCTGCAGCAAGGGACTTTGGGAGCACCACTGGAAAGCCCTTGGGCCACCTCCCCACTTCAGCACAGGTCATACAACATCACTGCAAGGTTCACAGGAGCAGGAGGACAGCCAGCCAGGTGCTGCATGCTCAGCCCACCTTCCCTGCAGAGATGGGTGGCTGTCTGCTCTTACCTGCTCAAGAGGCCACTAGGGCATGGCCAGCACCCACCTGAGCTCAACCTCAGCACCAACTCTCACCCTGGCACACCAGCTCCCTGTGCCATGGGACATGTTGAGGCCCATGACTGAACCCACCAGAGATATACTACTCTTCTTCTACTCCTCCTGTGAAGCCCATCCTTCTGCCCAAGGATCCATTGGACCCCTGCTCTTCCCACAGCTCAGCCCACTCTCATCCAGAAGAGAATCCCACCAACTGCAGCAGCTTTGTCTCAGTGTTGAGAAAAACAAGGCAGCAACCTGCGAGCCATCAGCATCATGAGTAAGACTGATGCTAGCAGGACCTCACGCACCTGCTGGAAGCTGGACTGGTGTCTTTCACAGGGCTAGGAGGTTCTTCATCCATCGATGTGGAGGACAACAGGCTCCGGTGCCTTCGTCGGCGCTCTCTTTGCTGCTCTTCTTCATCCTCAAGCGTCCTCTGCCTGGCCAGGCTGTTTGGGATGAAACGTAACATCATGGTGAGGCTGTGCCCTGCATGGAGAGCTTACAGCCCTGATGCTGGACAAGAAAGGAGACCAAAACACCCTCAGGCAAGGGATGAGGGGCTGACAGAGGTTGCCTTCCCCAGCTGCTGCGTGGGGCTGGAGGAGAGGGACACCAACGCGAGCCAGGTGTCACAAAGCGCTCTCACTCCACCCAGCTGATGCAGGCATTTCCCAACACAAGCACTTGACAACTCCTAATTTCTTCTGTTGGAGGGAGAACTCACTTAAAAGGAATCCCTACATTAAACAAACCTTCCCAGGCAAGGATATTTAACCTGTAACTCAGCAAGACCAGGACCGTAAAGTCACCACATAGATCTCAACCACATAAACTGGAAGGGTAACCACTAGTGGCAGAAGATTTTAGCCCCAGTGTGAGTTGTGGCAATGGCATTTTAATTTTTATTGAGCAAAAAGCCTCAGATGCAAAAGTATCAAAGGCTGAAGGTACTGCTGACAATCTCTGCCTGGAAACAGGGACGGCATGAGCTCCTTTTGCTCCCTGCGTGTGGCTGGGCCTGGGAATTGTTTGTAATCACAGATTGTACCAAAAAGACAAGGTTTGTAATCATCTTTAAAGAGTCATCTTCAAAGATTTTATATTGCACAAGCCAAGTACATATTTTTTTTGATCAAATGCCAACCTGAATAAAAAATCATTTGGACAACACCAGCTTTCCCTTCTCTGTGCAAAACCTGCCTGCCCTCTCTGCCGGTCCATGAACTGTGCTGGAAAAATATTATTACTGGCTGGACTGAGCTTTTCACAACAGTGATCATCTGCCTACAGCACTAGTCCTCAATCAGCTGCAAACATGTGCAGGGGGCCCAGCGGAGTTCCCCGCACCCCGACAGCCTGACGGGGCAGAGCCCTTCCTGCGCAGGATCCACCCCATCGCAGGGTCCCAGCTGTGGAGCTGGCACTCCGGTTTCATCCAGACTCAGGGTTTACTTTGAATTTGACTTTTAAGAATGTGAAAGTCAGAGCAGGTCCCTGCAGTATCGCTAACATCATTGCGGACACGGTGACTTGCAGCGTGGTTTACAAGTTACTGTGTAATGAAAGCTGGGTCATAAATTAAACCACATTACCCCCCGCAAATATTCGCGGCTTCTGTTCTTCCTGGCTGAGGGAGGCGGGGGAGCGTGAGAGGGTCAGCAGAGCAGAACGGAGAGCAAAGGGGGGACAGGTCCTGGCTGAGAGCTCAGCACCTCTTTGGGGACAGGGCAATGTGTGCTGCCCTTTCCTCCCGCTGCCTCCACCCCCATTGCCCCCTGCTCCTCCCAGCAACCTTCACACCTCAACAGCAATCGGAGTCACTGCTGGGGGGCTCCAGGGTGGTCCCCAATGCCATGCGTAGCATCAGGAGAGACAGGGATGGAGAAGGCTGGAACCTGCCCCAGGGAGCCGTGGGCATCCCCAGCCGGCTCTCACCCCACTGGGGGACACCTCCCCATGCCCCTCCCTGCAGCCGCACTCGCCTCCATGGGCCTGACCCTGTAAATATTTGTACACAGCTTAGCTGCACTGGGAAGGCAGCACAGCTTTATTTGCACAGCGCGGTGTGATCTCCTGGCGAGACCTGCTGCAGCAATCACTGCACACGCACATTCCCACCTGGCAAAGGTAGCATGTGCGTAGGGACCTATGCACACAGGTGCCTCTGCTAAGTGCTCTTGTCCCTCAAGCACTGACAGTGTGGAGTGCTAACACTAGTTTAAAGCCACGTGAGAGCCAGTTACTTCTTTGTTTTTGCATGCACAGGCTCCTTCAAAATGAAAATGAATTTTTCTTGCCTGAATTTGCTTGGCTGCTGCAGAGGCGGCACGTAACCTGGCATTATCAACATGCAGTTTCTCGCTATTTGTAATTACGTAATCCGCCCATTAGGCTAGGGATTTGCTTTGCCAGTCTTCCCCTCCTCTTTTCAAAGAGGGGTTTATTTTTCACCATCTTACCTTTTGTAACCTCAAAGAGATGAATAAAAAAAGATTGGTGAGTCTCCCCCTGCCTTGTCCTCTCCTGTCCTGTTAATCATTATTGCTGAGATATCTGACATTTATGCTGTTTCAGTAAATGCTGTCTCATCTAATGAGAGAGGAGAAACTGCCTTCCTGGGTTGTGAAACAACCTGGGTGCAGGACCCTGCTGGGCTTGTGTTCGGGCAGGTCCATGGCGCAGAGGAGGTGGATCTGGATGGGGCTGGGATGCCCTCTGGATCCGTCCCAGCCACGATGGAGGCAGGGTGTGAGCTGGCAGCCTCCAGGCAACGGGGTCTCTCTTCATTCCCATTTCTGGGCTGGCCACGGTGCGTGTCTTACCCAAAGTACTGGGGTTTGCAGTTAAGTCTCGGAGCCATCACATCCACTCACACTAGGATTTCTGCTCTGTTTTGTGGGATGGTGCGGCTGCGTTTGAGTCACCGTCACCCCGTCTGCATAGCTGAGGTCAATGGTGCTTGCCCTGGTGTCTGCCGGAGGTCAGGAGCAATCCCCACATCAGCCCGGTTTTGTGTGAGCCCCTGACTCACCCTGTGATGCCCAGGAGCCCCACCCACCCTGGCCTCCATCGGAGACAAAAATCACTCTTTAGGACAGACCGAGCAGAGCGGCCAACTCCATGGGGCTGTGGGGATCATTCAGCGACTGCCGATGAATCAGGGCTTGCTCAGCACCGGATGGGCAGAGGCTGCAACCTCTGCATGGTGAAGCTGGGACATGCACCCGGGGGCGAGTGAAAAAATCCCACACCTTGGCTCGGGAGCAAGTCTGGAGGCACAGTCCAAGCCAGCCAGACCCTACCCCAAAGAAAGGCAATCTGGACCAAAAATATATCCAGCACGGGGCAAGGATGCATTTCCAGAGCCATTTTCCTATGCAGCACTCAGCTTCCCCAGGCAGCAGAAATAGATCTGCCTCTGCTCTTGCCCACCCATGAGAAACTCCAGCAGTGCCACACACTCGCTGGGGCTGGCAGCACCTCTGCAAGCAACACCCCCCACAGCAGCTGTCCCCTCTTCCCATCCCCCCCAACACCCCTCAGCCCAGGCTCACCGTGCCAGCAGCCCACCCTCATCCCTTCCCTCCCGCCTGTAGAAAGGGTTAAGCATTAAACCACAGCACCTACCTGGAGAGATCGGACCAGTTCCTTCT